ATATGTATATATAGATATGGGCAAACGTATGAGTTAATACACCTTGATGTTCCTCTGTGTACTTTTGAACTAACCGTGGAAGCGTGATCGTTTCCACGTTATTGAAAAATTTCAGTCATCTTAAGGGGAGAAAATTTACTTTCTTTTTGACAGAATATGTCAGCGACATTGAAAAAACTTAAAATATATTTTATCTAAAATCGATGTTATCGCTCTGTTGCTTTCCCAGTTCTTGTCAACGAAAACTACTGGCCAGTCAACGCTCAAGCGACCTGCAACGTTGCATGCTGGGTCAATAAATCATCTGTCGACTTCGATGACAGTTATATCACCGCCTATGATACGTGCAATACTAGTAGGACAAGCACAGACCCGTATGGTGACGTATACTACGTCGATGCTGCGGGCCAATACTCATGCCCCTACAACGGTATAGAACTTCTGGACAACGGCTACATTGTCGAGGGGCCCATTGTAGAGATAATCCTATCGGATTATCTGGACTTTGACCCTTTGAAAGGTTTTTTTGACGTGTTTCTAGTAATATTGTTATCTCAGGACCAGGCAGCGAACCAGTCTGAGGTTGGCATAGGATACAATGGTATGTACATTCATTTACGATGGCTGTCTCCTTGTATTACTGAATCATATAGCCTACATTAGTGTTGGATTCTCAAAGAATTGGTATACTCTACTCGAATTAGGTCATAAGGCCTGGTTTGTGCCTCTACTAGCACATTTACAATTCATCATATAGGCCAATTCGCACATCCAGTGATCGAGCCTTTTTCACTTCGCAGTGATCGTAGGTGGCGTCATGCATGGCGAAGAGACCTACCAAGTGCAGACCGTCTATGAGGGATCGTCTGCTTTAGAGTGTGGGCCAACCGATGCCGACACGTCCGATTCACACCTGAAGTGTAAGGCGCTTATCATACCAGCCGACAAACTGAACCGGAACAGCTGTTATGCTCTCTCCATGTTTGAACAGATTCGCTTGCAAATAGTGCTTCAGCAGGCGTATTCGCCCCTGCAGTCTACTTTAAACACGACGGGTATGTTTTGAAAGGTGCGATATACATACTCCTGAAGTCATGATCTGTATGCTATCCTATATTCTTTTTAGGTCTATACATTTCGCAGGTATTGCTTTGACTATTTTTGAGAGTTTTTTAGACTTGTGGTCGGCTTGGTGTATTGTAAAGTACAAGTGTATTGGCTTCTACATGTAGATATTGGACAGGGCGAGAACACAGAGCTAATTGCGGGGGAACCCCCCTACGTCACGAACATACCGTTCAACAGCGCCGAAATTCAGTATACAACCACATCGGATGACTTCGAGACGGTAATGATGGTGGTGCACTGCTGCATGGGCATTGTCATGTTCTTGTACACCATTGTTTTCACATACCGGTCATATAAGTTTGCTGAGTCAAAGTTCAGCAACTGGTACGTCGAACGTAAGTGGGCGGTTACCCAATCTGGGGCTGCGGTACTGGTGGCTGCGAATCCGATTTACCTCTATTTTCTTATGGAGCATACTGAAACAAGCCACGCGATCCACACAAGTATCATCCTAATCGATGTGCTGTTAACCAATCTCGGTTTGGGGGTCATTTTTTTCTTCAATCTCTGCTTCTTGTCCAGGTAAGACAGCTCCAATAGCATCTGCTTAGGTTGTGATACTGCCTTCTGCTTAAATTATACTTGTCCGGGTCAACGGTATAGAGGAGGGAATAGGTTTAAAAATATTTTTCAGTTCATATTTGCGGTTGCATACATTCGATGTGAATGTATCTCCATAATTTGCGACTTGGTGATCTGAGCAACACATTTGGCCTGAGCACCTCAGAGTCCTTTTCGCAACAGCTAATTAGCTGCTCAAGCATGCTTATATCGCTGATCTGCGCGTGTACACTCCTTGGTTATTGAATTTTTGAACATACGACTCATTCATCAATCCTATGTTGGGAAAACAAGGCTGCTCGAGGCGTTTGGTTGCGGAGTATGTAGTATGCTTGAGAGACTTTTGAGTAGAGTAGTGGTCCCCATAAATCTAACAAAACCGTTCCTTTTCTACCCACTCCCAGCTTCCGACTGCCCGAGCAAGAGTATCACCGTGGCTTCCGCTTTTACGCGCCAAAACTTCTGTTTCTTGCCGTGTGGATGTTGTGCACAATCTCCGTGTCTATATATATAGTCTCTATGGAGTTTGCTGAGAGTGAGATTCATGCACAGTGGGCTGATTCTAATGTTGGAAAAATTGCAACAATCTGTCTGTTATTTGGATATTTCACAAGTATGCTTCTCGAGAGTGTACGCACGCATTTTGCGTACAAGGGCACTTTCAATACCGGTCAGAAACACAGGCACCTCATGTACCGCTTGACGATTACCTTGCAGTGCATGCTGATGATAATATTTATTTTCGAGGCCTTCTTCGTATTGGTATGGGACACCAATCAGGCCGTATACGTGTATCAACCCTTCACTGGGTTCTCCACCCTGTTTATACCATCATTTGCATTCAATATATGTGCTATTGTCACCGTCTTCGGTACTACCTACGGCTATCTCCCACCCACCAAGGCGCAATTGTTGGCGGGAGTGGTCGAGCTTGATCTCGAAGCACGTAGCTCGCACGTGCATGGTGAATTCTCGTTGTATACAGCACATTGGATGTGTGCGGCGAGCAGACTCGCGTACAAGTTCAAACCCAACGACAAGCGCAAGAAGCCGCGCAGGAGGAAAAACGTTGTGGATTCGAGGCTCGACAACCACACGATCAACGCAGCGCATGAAAGCGGTCGCGGAATATATGTAGAGCGTACAATACTTGGAAGCCCATCAAATGGTGAAGCTATAGTTGATCTGGCACTCATGAATGGTTGGTATGGCGGTGGTCACCACCCGGGGAGAAGGCGCAGTACGTCCGGCCAGATCAGTTCACATGGAGGTCAATACTGTGCGTTTGTCGACCAACAGGAATACAATCACAAGAATGGACATGCATCCAAGGACTTTGGCTCATGTGTAGATGCACGCAATGGAGATGGGGATGTGAAAACGAGCAACAGTGATAATATCGATGTTGCCATCGGATGTCGTGACGGCGGGGTTGATGATTGCCCTGATCATCAGGGTAATGAACTCACGACGAGGTTAGAACCCCGTATTAAAAATATCGAAATTTTGCACACTAAATCAGAGACACTCGCGCGCTGCACTACATCGGAGGGGCAGGGGGGTATCGACCAGCCCGATGGTTCACTGTATAGCAATACTACAGGCCAGATTGGATGTGGATATGGAAATGAAGACCGAATGAATTATGCATACCGGTCTGAAAACGGCTTCGCTCATGTCAGTCCACACCCACAAGCTCACGGGACAGCACACGCACCACCTGTACATGCACACGAACACGAGCACGCACAAAGCAACCACAGACATCACGATAAACAACTTAGACACCACGATGACGAACACAGTCACCACCAAGGAAGTGACAGCGATAGTGAGGCCTGGTCACATGATAGTGATTCAGCGGACGACACAGAGGGGAGCGGCAGTGCAAACGACAGCGCTGAGGAGCATGGGGTGAGAGACTATGCTGATATCTGGAAAAAGAAGTGGCGAAATTTCGAGCTGGTTGCGTACATCAGCGATGAGCGGACGGATACACACTGTGTCATATTTAGAAACAATGACGAGCTGGTGATCTCGTTCAGAGGCACAAAGAGTTCGGGTAATGCGATGACAGACATGCAAGCCCATCTGATACCACCGTGTTCGGACACAAATCAGGTGGGGAGTAGCAACTATTTCAAATACAAACACACCTGCGATGTGGGTTCACCATGCCGGGCGGATAAAATCCTGGTGCACAGAGGTTTTCTAAAGGCCTATAAGAGTATCAATGAGCGCGTGCTTGCGGTGCTGCGAAATGAGGTGGACGCCCATTCAGCGGGTAGTCCCAAGCCTGCTAGTATCTTATCAAGTACAAATGAGGCAGCAAGCTATCTGGATCGGTCGACTATTTTTGCAGCGCTTGTTAAGTCTGATGTTGGAAATTGCGATCATACAGAGACAGATGGTGGTGTAGGCAAAGGAGCATCAAACCAATTACAAGCGCACAAGCATAAAAAAGCAAGTGTTTTGCTGCAGAGATTGCCAAACATACAAGAAGTAGCATCACATGAGTTCGCGAACACGCAACCCCCTATCCAAACACATAAACCAACCCGTTCTGATTTAGCTGACGGCGTTTCACACCGTGATCCATTGTGCAACAACTTAAGTGAGAGAGATATAACTTCCCTGTGTAACGGGTCGCCTAGCAACCCCAGCAGTACAAGTGTCCCCGGGAGCCCCAGCTTCTTGCTTCCTTTGCCTGGGAATGCCACGGATTGTACTGGTGAATCGAAGGGGGATGGTCGTGAGCTTGAAAATAATAGAGATGCTCTCCATAAGCAACCAGACTTGGATAGAATTGCTAGTGAACCTAATCCCGTGGACGAAGGTGAAGTGGCAGCGTGGGGACAGCTGCATGTATTCGTCACTGGACACAGTCTAGGAGGTGCGCTGGCTACTCTCTGCGCGTTTGAATGCTGTAAATTCGACGCCTCCGAACTTGCTATGACGGTGTACACATTTGGTAGCCCTCGAGTGGGTAACCGCGCATTTGCTGAAAGGTGTGCTTAATTCACTATTGATAACAGTATGTTTATAGATTTATATATCCATGTATCATGCGAAGAGAACATGAAGGGTTTCCAATTCAAGAGCTCACCGATCTGATTGAACACACACACATTTCAATATAAACGTATACGACCTGACTGCATCATGCCCGGTAGCCAACGCGCAGCTAGCCTCGCCTAGTCGCTCGCCACATATCTCTCATAGTATATATTTCCACGACCTGTTTCATAGGTACGATCGAAACTCGAAGCGAATGCCGACCCACCGAATTGTCAACGATGGCGATCCTATCGTAGGGATACCAAAATTCTGGGCTCCGAAATTGTTCAACATCACGTACAAACATGTGGGCACCTGCTACACCATTGGCGGGCGGGGGGGTATAATCATCAATCCTAATTTTTCTGAACGCAGATTCCAGCTGAAGTCCAAACGTGACATATCGACACATAGCATCCGGCAGTATCGGACGGTCATCGTACGATGTATGGGTCGTGTGATGGCGGGTGAGGATCACGCGGACAGCGTGTTCGACCTGTCCACAGCTCTGCGGTCTATTACCACCACGCTGCAAGCACCCGCTGACATGTGCAGCATAGAGGCAGACGAGGCCGACGGGATAGACGATGCGCTGGGATCCATGCAATTCGACACAATGGGCCCACTCCCGAGCAGAGCCCACCTACGCAGCCTGATACAGTTGCCACGCACACATATTCTCGACGGAATGCAGGGCTCGAGTGCGAATGATGGTGTTGGCAGAGAAATAGCGAAGACGAGAACGTCGGTTATAGGACGAACAAGGCGCGTGATGCATCGAAGTGCGACCGTGGACGTTGCGGAGACGACACGCCACTCCGCGCCATGGAATGAACCATATGCATTGTAATGATATATGAGATGAACATCGTGTGCAGTTACGCAGTCCACTCCGCGCCATGGAAGGAACCATATGCATTGGAATGATATATGAGATGAACATCGTGTGCATTTACGAAGTCATGGAAAGCAGTTTAGCTACCTAAAAGATCGGATTCCGGGATTTAAATTCTTTTGCGCGATGGGCACAAATTATATGGACTACTATCGAAGCTAGACTGATACCTACTGCGCAGAATTTAGTCAACGATTGCTAATTAGTGTTTGAGGCGTGCGATTCTGTCAATATGCACTCTTCTGGCGGGAATAACTAGAGAGGCTGTTGGCACGAGATAAGCCAGATGCAAATGCCAGATGCACCGGAAAAGCGCAGAATCCAAAGCCGAGATTCTCGATCCGAAAACTATCTTGTTTTGTAAGCAGATGATAGTACCTGATTGGGATACAATTCATAGTAAAGATTCTCCCAAAGTCCTTCAATCTCCAATAGTGGGGATACCCATATAAACACCGATTCAAATATTCACCAAACTAATTGCTGCAGATGTGCTGCATCGTATGTCATGCAATGTATAGGCCAGCCACGTATACGAATACGCCATTCAATTAAGGACCTTATATATCTTGGTTTTTGATCAACGCAGCGTCAATAATTCATTTTTTGTAGAGCGAGTTGAAATCTTAAAGTACCCCAATTCCGCGAGAAGCTCTATTTATTGCATTCAATACTCTATATAATACAGGACTCGTTAGTACTGACCGGACTGTGCCTCCGCTACTTGCCGAGCTGCAGATGACGAGAGAGAGAGTGATAGTGATAAGGATTATATTTATTTTGAGGACCGAATTGAGCCAAGGCACTGGGATAACACAGCAGGATAAATCGCCAAAACTTGAGAAATGAATGAACACCAGTCTCCACATGTGCGATAAGGCTAGGGGTTAGGAGCAAATAGCGAAATTTGAGATGGCAGGAGTGTGACAGAACATTTCTATCACAAACTGCGTGTATGGTTATAAATGCTAAGCAATTTCTCCAGCAATGGCACTTTCAGAATGAACATTATATTAGCTTAAAGCTTCGAATATTGATATAGTACTCGTACCTTCTCTCTCCTTGGACAGCTCTTTGGACATTCCCTTCAAAAACCTCTGGAAAGGCACCATATACCGCATCAGTGATGTCTTCTGGAAGTCCGTGGGGACGCGACCCTCCTTGTTATTTGAACTGCTAAAGCTTGCAGCACCTGCCTCCTGTTTGATAAAATCGTCCACATCTGCGACACAAGTATAGTCGTCTATCAATAAAATGCCATATTGCAAAGAAACCAATTCGAAGCAGCGTGAGAGTGTCGCTCACATCCGGACGAGTCTTTTAAGCAAGCAGAGAACCAAACTGACTTGAATACTACAGCTGGTTGAAAATTGAGAAAAGCTGGTCAGTATATTGCAGCCACATCCAAACTCACCCTCATCCATAGGGTCTTCAGCCCCCACATTATTGGCGTGCCATTCATCTAAATCCCTAATTAGATCACTGATCGTGGGCACTTTGAAGGGATTGAAGGTGTCCAGATTGTTGACGTCGATGGGTACACAGACGCGACCTGCAACAAAGTGGTGCAGGAAATCTTAAGACATTCGTAGAATAGCAGTCTAGGTATGCGTTTGAGGTTCATGTACTCGAAGACAGCCGAACCATATACGGAACAGATGAAGCTATGACTACGAATAATGCAATAGGTCATTTTTTTTTTAAATGACCTCGGCATAAGTGAACACACCTGTCTTGGGATGAACGCAAAATGGAGACTTCAGCAAATGATTGATGCCTTTACTAACATTCACATCGAGTCTTGGGTAGATATGTTGAAGGATGATCTCATCCCGCGATGTTTTGAGTTGATAGTTCCTGGGATTCTTTGCAATGGCGAATTCAATTCTGGCTTCGAGTTGCTTCCATCTGTTTTGAGAAGGCAAGTATGTGAGCACGGGGTGTTTCTTACTACACCAAACGTGGAAGCTCATATCAGAAAAAAACCGTCCAGTCGCTCAGAGCACAGAGATTCACTATACTAGCTCGAATTGGATGCATGTAAACACGTCTGTGTTCTATATGGGCTCAAGAGTGAGTGGATGCACATACATTGAAGTTCAGGCACACCTCCACAGCATACCTTCACAGGGAGTACTAATCTCGATGCTAATCACATTAAGAGATCGCATAGGCATATGCAAACGCACTTTCAGATACACTTGAATGCCAGGTGCGGGCAGACTGCAGTCGGGAAGGTACTACGTATATGCTAAACAACAGTGTATCTATACCTACCTTTCCAGAGACACGGTCCCACTGTATGCAGGATAAGTACTATCCGAAGTGTCTGTTGGCGGGTTCTCATCTGGCTGGTCCAAGCCACACCCAAACATGCCTTCCTCCTTCCATGCCGCAAGAAGTTCAGAACGGATGCTCTCATCGGCAACTAGAGCTAGTATGGCCTTCGCCGTGTCAATATATTGCAGCAACTTCTGGTTCTTCAAAGCGACCTACAATGCAGAATGCCGTGTTGGTAGTACTGCGTGAGTACGTTATTGTCCAGCTATGCGGTTGCAAGACTTTGGAATAGGGTTCATTAAGAACATTGTTATTGAGAGTCCGAGGGGTTGCCTGATATTGTCAATACTATTCTGAGGTGCAAACTACCTGTCGCTCACACAGGCATTGAGAAAGTTAACGTTATTTCAAACACATTCACGCACTTAGGATACTATACTTTTTCTAGCCCGATTGTGAGCGGAATAGAGAATAGGTAGAACGCAAGACTGATCTGTACACTGAAAGTGCAAATAAGCTGGCAGAAGGTATAATACAAGCGATTTTCTGAGTGAGAGTGTGGTAACTCAGCTGGAGAGCGATGCAGTAGCAACAGCATAGCCTCCAAAAACCTGAAATGCGTGCGAAATCACACGGTGTACCTACCTTTTTGAAGTACCTACTGAGCACATTCAAAGCCCTGCTGAGACTAGGATGCGGAGGGTTCGTAATCTTAACCTTCTGCGCCTGTTTGTCACCACCCTTGATGACGGTCAGATACTCGGTCACAGCACCTCTCTCTTCATTGTCCATATTCCTAGCCTCCTTGTCACACACCCAACAATGCACACCACGACGTCCAGAGTATATCCACAGCTTGTGCTTGAACCCAAAGTCTTCCTCCAGCGCAACGTCCATGACGGCAATGGCTGCCGACATGAATGGCCAACACTGCAATAGTGAGATATGGTCACATGATGAGTCAGGTCGATTCAGCTGATATCACTTTGGTTCTTGGGTGCAACTTTACCAAATGCTGCGTATTCGATGTCTGCAGATATCTATCAACTGTGCTGACACAAGCCTTTGGACTAGTGACATCCACGAAAAGTTTAGCGGGTGTTGCGGCGAGATCGCTACATGAGGCCAAGTGCGATTGAAAAACCATCCTATACATGCGCAATGCCTCTCTTCGGATGCAGCTAATAAATCATCGTGACCGAGATTTTGTCTGCCATGCAGAAATGACAGCAATACAAGCTAATTCTGAAGCTTGCATAATTTAAGCCATGCGAAAGAAATTCGATTCGATAACACACATACATCATCCACATATGTCTGTATGGATGCCATACAACACGTCACAGTACATCGGAAGCACTTCGCATCTCCCACACAGTTTCAAAAATTATAACTAGTTCTACACCGCTGCGACACATACTATTCACAAGCACTTTCTTACCAGGGGGCAAATCGCTGCACCACTACAGCACGTACGGATGTCGTCATAGTCCGTCATATCTATATCGAATACCAGTTCCTTCTCGCTTGGCTTGAAATGACCACTCTTCACTGTCTTGTGATCTTTTGGCTGTAGTAGCAAGTTAGAAACGATCAGCGCGTGGTTTGGTTTTTGCCTCATGACCCATTGCTCCATCAATTGCAAATATTTGTATTTGTCAATTTCGATCATGTTTACCGTGTATGATTGAAGGTGTGGTCATTCACACGTTTTGTGAGATTTACGTTCTGTTTACGTAACTGCACGTCAAATAACGATGGCAACTGTACAATGTAGCGTTATGGACTCCGTAACTGAAGCGAAAATGTAGGTAACGTTAGATGCCGATTTTGCTAGCTAGATTGCAAGGCGTACGGGTGAGCACCAAATGGTATATGTGTCACTACTATGTGCGTTTGACCCTTACCTTTGCGTTGTACACAGCTCCTATATCAATCTTGTACGGATTCCGGCTCTGAACAGCGAGCATGAGATCTTTCATACTGTCAAAGGATTGATAACGAATATATATATCGTCCTTAAGAGTGAACGAAAATTCTCGCTGACCTAGATACCTGCCAGCTGTTTAAATAAGGAATAAAAGACGATAAGTAGAAGTTAGATCGATAATAAAATGTTCTCAGGTTCCATACTTGAATATAAAATACAAATCATGCAAGATAGGGTAGTAAAGGAAATCATTTTTGCTGTCTCGCCGAATAACCATTTTTCAGGGGTCCTAGAACACTCGCAGTTCACAAAGCGAGAAGAGTGTCAATAACCTCATACTTACTGCTTAGGTCACCATACGCAAGCCACTTATAGTAATCTTTGTAAGGGAAGAATCGCGAGTAGTACTGCTTCAGAAGTGCTTCGAATTCCGCCAGCTCGCCCCCCTCCTGCTTGCGCTTCATCGGCGTAGGGGTGGCAGCAGAGGCTTTCCTCGTGGCCTCCACCTTCTTGTGTGAGCCTATTTCGGACTTGATCGTCCTGCTTGCACTAACATTGCCAGTACTTGTTCTGGGTGTGTTGGCGCTAAATGCGTTCGATTGTTTCGCGGGCGTCGGTGTGGGTGCAGGCGTACTCTTGGCTGTACCGGTGCTGGTATTTGTTGGGGTGGGCGGGGGCAGTGGTTCGTTCTTTATTTCTCCATTGGTGTTCGATGGTTGTGACGCATTCGGCTTCGTGCTATCGTCAACTGTTCGGACAGGCAAGTGAAGTGGAGTAATCACAGGTGGGGCATGAGAGTTGTGGTTGATGATCGGATGATATGACGAACAGCACAGACTGGATAATTGTTACGAACGTGCTGGTTTTAGTTATACTATTATAAATGGGAATGATATCAAGTTTCTCAATATCGGTTTCGCATGTTCCTGGTTCTTCGTCGATAGACTCAGCAGGCCAACAGGCACCTCAAACGTAGCCACTAACAGCCACAGTACCTCGGCATGATAGTATCCAAATATGAGGCATGTGTGGGCTAGTGCTGTTAGGTGCTATATAGATCATAGTAGGTATAAATCGAGCTCTGTCTAGACATCTGGCGGATGCATACCTATTGACTGTAAGCATTTAAAAGGGCCGTGTACACAAAGACTAACAATACCTCAAACACTGTGCAACCGATACAGGAATAAATAATATCGTTAGATATCAAATTGATCTTTCAGTCGCTGAGATGCCCAATGTAATTAACCCTTAGTACTGGAATCAATGTATGCATGCGCCAGAACGTCACACACCAGCAATTTAAGTTTATTCAGTCACATTGGGAACTTTTCAAAATATTTGTATACATAATTATACCAGATAGCAGAATAAGCAACAGTACGTAAATTGTACAGAAATGCAGACGCGTGTAAGTGTACATCACCACGAACAAATATATAGGTGTAGAAGCATAAATTTTATTGTCATGCTAATTTATTTACATACAAGCACACAAACACAAACACTCTCACACTGAACTCACAGACCTATGTATATATGTAAATATATGTATACATGAATACATATACAGACACACACACACACACAGACACACAGAGAGAGAGACACACACATACACACAGACACAGAAACACACACACACACACACACACACACACACACACGACACACACAGACACACACATATATATATATATATATAGTAATTACAAATATATATATGTATAGAAATTACAAATATATCCCCAAGTATGTCTGTACATCTTTTGTGTGCATGAATCTATTCTCACGAGGTTCTTGGACATATTCGCGACTTTGAGTACTGATATACATAGTGTACAGTATCGTAGGTCTATACACTCACCTTCGTCGGAATCAACATCCATGGAAGTTTCATCTCTCTGCTCCTCGGTTTTGCATTCAACAGTTGACACCGGTTCCTTTCCTTCAGCGCTGCGCGTCTGAGTGTCAGATTTTTGATTATCACCACCATCTTTATTAGCACCCACAACATCAGACGCACTATTTTTCTCACTACTACTATCATCAACTATGGTAGCATCTGCAGCACTTTCCTTTTTGATAGAGGGTACCTCTGTTGTATCCCTGTGATTTTCTTGCTTAGTATTATTATCTGCTGCAGCCAAGCTTGCACTTCCCTCCTTCACATCAGAATTGTCTGTTGCATCAGATACGGGTTGATTCTCAGGCACTTCGCTATCTACTTCCATTGGGCCGGTGTTGATGGTACATTCTTGACTAGGTGTCTCGAGGGGTACACCGGAATTCCCGACAGAGGCCATGTTTTCCTTGTCTGCCATCTTACTTAGCAAAGCTGATAGATAGCTTCGCCTGATTTAAACTACGATGATCAATATCCGTATTCTCAGCGATATGAACGTATATGCGTGCGTATGTGTTGTCGCAAAAGAGTAGCTATACTCTAGTCCACTCTCCTCACTGTGTAAACACAAAAGTACATCGCAACCACATAATACATGTATCACGCATGTCCGTATTCTCTTTAGAACAATCCCACTTCACCTCTTGGTGGTGCTTCAAAAAGCCAGACGAATAACCAAAAAAATAATTAAAAGATGAAGAATTGATTGGTTGAAGTAGAATTTAGGCGGGCCAATGATTTTATTAGGAAAACTGAATTTACTATTTTGCCACAGCTCGACGCTCGTCAAGATATTTATATATTTCTATTTTTTTCAAAATGATGTCCACACTGTATGTACTCTAGTGCGAGTGAGAGAGAGAGAGAGAGTAGAGCTTGAATGGTATAAAAGATCGTATATATTACTGGACAATTACTTGTTAATTATGCATACGAAACATATATATTTCTCTCCGGTATCACAGTAGGAAGTGATTTGACTACGAGACGCGACGCACGGCCAACATGACCATCGGAGATATTCAACCTCAGCACGCGGTGATACCTTTTTAGTTCTGGCGAAGTTGTGATACCTGCATAGAATTGTGATCTGTCTCTGCACAGTTACGCACCACATCAAGTAGCCAATATATACAATATAAAATTAATTTTCATTACATGAAAGATAGGTAGCCTATCTGTAGCTGGTACAACGAGCCCACCGGCTTATGCAGATGGTAATTAAGTATATATAAGTATATATCAAAATGGATATGGATAACGCTCCTATGACTGAACAGCCCAAGACAGTTGTATGTAGAATGTTTCAATCAAACCCTTTTAACCCCTTATGATGGAATTTTAATCGAATTGTTATGATCATGAAGGTACTGTTTAATTGCACTTCACCACGTACCATTGGGTAGAATAAGATGGTGCTAGAGGTAAGCACCGACACTTGACACCCCATCTACTCGATTATGTTTATGCGTATGTGAAGATGTTGTATGTATGTTATTGATGTATGTCATTGCAGACAATCGATAGTGTATTAACATTGTAGCTACTCGAAAGGGTATATTTGGTGGTGCAAGATGTATGTTAATGAGTCAGGTCTTCGCAGTTACTGTATATTGCTTTCATGAACTCTGCAATATATGTACTTCCTTGCCTGAATACGCAAATCGAGTGTTTAAGTCACCGTTTTGGGAGTGACAACAATGATGTGATCTGATACATTGACCAACTAGCGTTAATCTTCTAATGTACACTACTACACACTATTAT